CCCAATAGCTAATCTGGTGCTAGATAAATTGTGGTTAATTAAATTTGAGTTTAGAGGAATCACTTGGTTCTTCATTTTTCGACCTACTTCCATTTTGAGTGAAGTTGTTTGAAGAAGAGATTCGAGAGTCGATCCCACCAAAGGACGACTGCGAATTCCGTTCTTTCAAGCTGTCGTTTGGCTTTACTGGAACATTCGTGTTGACGCTATTCCCGAGGCAATCTTTCTCGATTTCGACGAAAACATGCTAAGCTTTTTTCCTTCATATGACGGACATCATTAGAGAAGAAAGGGTATCATCCCTACAACTGCATTCAACCCAACTAGTCGAGAAAAAATAAAATATGGAAAGAGAGGGGATGATTGTGGTCATCATACCTTGCAGGCCGAGGTCAGACGTTACTTCTTCTGTCCTAATTATGTCGAGATGACACTGCTGGTTTCGTGCACATAAATACACACAGACAGGCACACATATGTTTCGAGGTTGACACATGACTTCAACTAACCCAATCACTTCATACTCCATCGAAGAGTTTAGATTTAGGGCATATATACAGCATTTAGGGATCATCATGTGAGTTTATTAACTCGTCAGCTTGAAGGAAAGCTTAGCACGTTTTCACCTCGAAAACAGCATCAACAAAAATGTTCCAGTAAAGCCAATCGACAGCTGGTCAAGAGGAATGCACCGTCGTCTTCCGGTAGGATCCACTTTCGAATCTCTTCACCAAACAGTCTAGCAAATTGACTGCCCCTCCTAAAAAAAGTAATCATCCTACCGAAATTAGCACTACTTGTAAGTAGTCTTTGAAAGCTCAGACAAGCAATATCATCGGCCAGTCCCAGAAAGTGATAAAGCTGACGTCCCTAACATTCGCATATTCCTCAAAGCCACTGAATCTCTTAGACATTTTGTTTTTGCTCAGACAACATTTTCGCTTTTTCCTGCATTCCATCAGATGGACGATCTAGAAAATGCCGAAGAGGCCTTAGTCGAAGCGAACAACTTGAACAATCACGACGCCAAGGTCTGGGCCTATCTGTCGATGCTGTGTCTACGAAGAGGCAGAAGAATCGAGGCTGAGCAGGCCTTCAAATACGCCTGCAAGGTTAGTCGATTGGCGAGTGATTTTATGTGAAATTTGTCAGATTAATTTACTCCTTCCTCTCCGTCGCTAGCCCATATTCCTCTTTGCCCCGCCATTCTTCTCTCCTCTTCTCGTCTCTGTTCTCTGTCGTCAGAACGAGCCGTCGGACACTAGTGAAGTGAAAGCGAAGCTATGACGACCAAGATGGTGTGGCCTTTTTTGTGGTCGCAGTCTCCTTTCGTTGTACAGAAGTTGTTTGACCCTGTTTCCGCAACTTGGTCCTATTGGTAGGAAGACTTAGAGGAACGCACCTTTCCGGAGTCCATTGTATGTATCATCATTTCCAGATTAGGACCGTGGATGTGCTACATTCCCAGACGTTTCACCGGCATCGTCAGTGAGTAACGCCAGTCTTTGCAGCATCCAACAACTCGTCAAAGAGACAAGTCATGGTCTCTATCCTGTTTCTATCTCTAATACCAAGTCTACAACTTCTCGTACCCTAGACTCTGGTGTTCCAAGCCACAAATGTTGTGGTACTGCTGGCTTTGATTAGGTTCAATGTGGAACCACAACGTTTGTGGGTTGGCACACTAGTGAAGTTGGTTTTTAATCGGGGTTGCTCTCTTATCAGCCCTGATGTGGTGATTTTCAGTTTTAATAAAAAAGCCAAAAGTACACAACAGCCCAGAAATTCATCATACAGCTTTTCGTTTTGCTCTGTTGACAGACATAATTGATTGTATTGAACCCATGTTTCATATGAAAACTCATATTCTGTATGGATATTTCAAAGTTGGACAGTATTTCTCAGTTGGATTGAGGAAGCCAGACTCGAGGAATGCAGCCTGGCGGCGTTTCGAAGCCTCTCACCTCGCCCTGAGCACTGAGCGACACTCGCAGACTAGCAAAGAACACGCCTTTTTTCTGTACGGTCGTAAAAACGGCCAACCCAAATGTTAGGTACAAGAAGCTTTATGCATTGGTGGGCCGACGGGAGCCACTTTTGGGCTCTAATTAGGCTTGATCACAAATCCTGGAACTTAATTATCTAAAAGTAGATTTCACAATTATCAGAAAGCCATAAATATGATGAGGAAGGACCAAAGAAGAATGCCTTTTTGGAGGCAAGAAAACGTAACGGTTACTCATTTGGTTGTGGAAAACTTCAGCAACCGTCGGGGTGACTGATCCTCCTATCCTGAAACTTACATCAGACCGACACAAGAGATTTGATGTGCCTCATGCTCGTCCCTCATCTCCTCATCTCTTCCTAAACTCTGTGCCCCTTTGGTATGTCATGAAGAGAACTTGAGGGTCGGTTGATGCAGGACCGGAGTGGTTGGACGATTGCATTTGCACGATGGCACAAAACACATATTCTGCATTTGATTCGGTTGCTAACTGCTTTTGACTTGGCAGGACTGCAAAAGAAGCTGGGTTTTGAAGAAGTTCTTGGTATACGATTGTTGGATCCGCTTCCACTTCTAGTGAAAATTTGTGTGTGTGTGTGTGTCTGTGTGTGTGAGTGATGAAGAGTTGCGAACATTGATCCTACCAGAATAAGGTAGAAGGTTGCTCTTGGCCAACTGTCACTTGACATTACTGGAACTTTCTGATTGAGAATGTTCTCGAGGCACCCGTCTTGGATTACCATCAAAGCATGCTAGGCTTTATTTTGGCTTTCATATGATGCGCTTACTTCCATTTCGAGTGAAAGTGTTGCGTGAAGAGATTCGAAGGTCGGTTCCACCAGAAGACGACGGTGGATTCCTCTTGATCAGCTGTCGATTAGTTTTATTGGAAGATTCATGATGACGCTGTTTCCGAGGTAATCTCATTCGATTCCGTCATGTGACGAACATCATCGTCACAACAAAATTCAAGCTTACGAGTCAAAACAACTCACCGGCAAATCCCTAAAAAGTGGTATATATACTCTACATCTGACCTCTTTGACCAAGCATAAAGTGATTTGGTTAGTTGAGGTCATATGTCAACTTCGATGCCTATGCGTGTGTCTGTCTCTGTATTTGTATGTGCATGTTTGTGTTTGCTTATGCACGAAACCCAACTTTTCTTCGCATATATTGCATATGATGGACGTCCTTAGTGTAAAGTATTCTTCATACATCTGATTTAAGCAAACGAATCAGCACAATTCCAGCTACAAAGTCAACCAGAAATGTACAGTAAAGCCAACGACGGATTGACAAGACGAATATGCCGTCGTCTTCTGATGGATTTGGACCTGGAAATTCTTTATCGCACTCCTTCACTTGAAACAGATGACAAGACAAGGCGTCCCTTCCATGCATCGTTGCTAGAACAAGTGTCATCGACTTATGCGTTACCTCTTTTCCGAGTTTACTCGCTTTTTATGCACAAAACTGACATGTATTCAGGTCATTCTGTACCTTGCTACCCTCACTTCAGCTAAAGTAAGATGAGGAACAATTTTGCGATCTTCTACAGCCGCCATCGAGCAATAGCTTGGCAAACAGTATTGACGAGAGGTAGTTGTTGTGCGATCGTCATGGTACCGGTATTAGTGGGTACAGAGTAGGTCCATCGGGAGGATGTGTTTCGATGCACTAAAGAATAGACCAGACCGTTTGACCTATTCTCGAAGAAGAGAGAATGAATGATACAGGTTTCATATGCGCCCAAATCTGTAATGCAATTCCTCTTCCTTTTTTTTTTATTTTCAGATGGGTCTTTCTGACTTGGAACTCTTGAATGAATTGTCCTCTCTGCAGGTTGCGGTAGGATTTGGAAACCCTCTCGTCGGCTGCCAGCCGCCTCGGCTACCCGGCATCTTAGAAGTGTGAATTCGTGGAAGCGAGCCGAATTAATGCACTCCGGACGTGTTCAACGTAGTTTTTGCATCTTTATTACCCAAAATCATTCCAAATTATTTCACACTTTTACTCCTTGTTTCCACACAAGAGAGTGTACAATTTGAGTTAGCTTCTTCTACATACATGCTTGTCTGTACTAGCCACTCAACCAAACTGTTGTCGTCTTTTGTACGAACTTGTTAGTTAAAATAACTTCTCCTGATTCGGTATCCTCAAGGCTTCAGTGGTTAAGCCAGATTTTCCAGTGGAGAACTTTAATCTGGCATGCATCACGCAAAGACTTACATGCGTGCATACGGTTACATAAGATTAATTAATATGCATCAAATTTGCTCTTTATTTATTTAGGATAGAGTGTCTACCCTGTTTTACTAATCAACAAAAGACGTCTTCCGCAAAAATCCTTGCACGTGAGGTTTCACATTAACTTTAGT